GAGAAAACCTGCCCAGCGCCACTTTGTCCACCACAAATCTCACTTGACCAGACCCGGGATCGAACCCGGGCCGCCGCAATGGAAAGCCAGCGACTAACCGCTTGAGCTATGGCGCAGCCGATTGGCGTGGTACTTAATTGATTAAGAATAAAGACGGCTTTACCTTCTGACTTTCATATTAGTTGCGCGAGTGGTCACCATTTTCATTCTCATTACACTACTATCTGGTATTTTTCGAACATTATTTACAAAAAGTATATCAAAATCCTTCTCTATGTAACGTCGCAATATTGCTTGTTACTTTTGTAAAGTATTCATTGTCTAATTTATAGAACTAATGAGCTTTCACTATATTTACAAAGTGCTGTCTGTCTATCTACGTATCTTTCTATCCATCTATCTATGGCTCTACAGCCCTTTTTTGGATCTTCGCCTCTTTTTCGGTTTCTTGATATTTTTATACATTCTGTAGGACTCCTTGAACAGGGGATCAGTCCGTCGCAAGACAGCACACAGACATCCATGTGCTGAGTGGGATTTGAACCCAACATCCCAGTGTTTCAGCGGGCAAAGGCAGTTCATGCCTTAGACCGCGCGGCCACTGTGATCGGCCTTAAAAGTAGGCTGCATTTGAATATAAACTATTTAAATTATCTATTTCTTTAAAATTAAAGTCAGTAACACAGTAATCGCTTTAGAAGCTAGTCCAAGGATAAAAGCATTAAAACTATCACAAATATGGACAATTCTGAAACTTAGAAACAAAATCGCGAGTGATGCCACGCCGGTGACCTCTTTGCGAAGCATCTCTGAGGGAAGGAAAGAAACTGTTTTCTGCTGCTGTATCTCCATTGGTCTCCTTCATTTGTCTGCATTTGAATAAATCACTTCCAGGATGTATTTGCTTAGAAATGCATCTGATTTATTAATGTCATCTCTCTTATTTAATACAGGAACATAATTACTAAAATTACTTTTAAATTACGCATGTTCGTAAAACAAAACTTGCAACTGTGAAGGCCGTCGATTGTTTTTTGGGTACTTAAATGTAACCCGATCGTTATCAACTGTCAACTCTTTCTTTTTTTAAATAAAAATAATAATTTTAGATTTGTATTGCAAGAATGGTATATGTTGCGCTGAGACAGAAAGACGACTAACGACATTGCTGGTGACTGCTGTGATTGTGAAAATAAGTTAGCACGCTTAAGCATAAACAATGGGCTGGTCACGCCGGAATGATTACTGGGGTATATTCCCTGTGTTTCTGCGTCGCATTATTATAATTATACTAAAAAATTATGAGTTATTACTGATGGAAGAGAATGATATGTGACAGTTATTTTTCACACACATACTCTGTAGGGAAGAGAGACTTACCAGCGTTCTCTCAAACTATTGTCATGACAACACACAATTCGTGCTGCCTAATCCGACTCCTTGACATAGAACATTGGGTGCCTTCTCTGATTTCGCTGACTGGTAAAACAGCTGTAGATTGGCGTAAGTGGGTGGACAATATTAAAATGGATCTTAGAGAGATAGGCTGGGATAGGATTGATTGGATTTATCTGGCTCAGGGTAGGGACCAGCGGAGGGCTGTTGTGAACACGGTAATGAACCTTCGGGTTCCATAAATGCTGGGATTTTATTGAGTAGCTGTATAATTGGCGGCTCCTCCAGAAGGGCTCAGATGCATGAGTAAGTAAGTAAGCAAGTAAGGTTTTCGGAGGATTAATATGCTGTCTCACAATATACAAATCTCTACAAATCTGATTCTTTGCAGCACATCGATATGTGCATATAAAACTTGATATGTTTTTAGGGTATTAAGACTGAAGAAGCCACATAATATACTACTTTGAAGATTGGCTGCTAGAGAATGCGCCAGGACTTACAAAGGTCATTGTCAGGCATATCCACTATCCGAAGATATGGGTTTGTGCGCCGGCTCTGCCTATCCATTTCGGTCGTTCGTGCAAAAATAATCATATCATTTACATCACACTGTGTGGAGTAAAAGATTAGTCCGGAGAAAGTCAACCGAAGCTGCTGCCTACTTCATGTCGGCTCTTTGCTTGGCTTATTCTTCGACCCTAAAAATAGAACTGATATATTCTTCCGAGACGTCAGTTAACTTTCACCGGACTACACAATATTACGTATCAAAAGATGTAACTCTCCATTTCGTCTCCTAGTTATGAAATTTACTCATCGTTTGATGATTGTTTGTTTGCAAAATGTACCGTTACATATAAATCATTCTAACAAAACTGTATCCACTCTCTTCACCAAATGAATGTATGTGGGGGCGACAT